TTCTTTAAGAGTTTTTCATACTTCATACAGTTCACCTTTATGAGAGCTATGCCTTCTGAAATAATGCATCTCCACTGAAGCATTATTTATTAGGAAGTTTGATTTTTCACAGTCTGAAAGTTTGGGCCCTTCTTTTAGCATTTTATTTCCTCCTCTCTCTCCCTCCTTACAACAGAGAGCTTTCCTTAGATAAAAGTGTACCCTTGTACAGAGGTAGCTTGATAGGTGAGAAATATGAAAAAATAAAAATGTTCTGAATTCTTAAGATGAATATACATACTATCCTCAACAGATTTATCTATACATACAACACCAGAAAAAACCTACAAAGCTGTAGTATCAACATTTGGGTAATAAATTTCCACTGAAGACTTGGTATGACTCTTATATGTGTATATACATATAGAGAGAGAGAGGGAGAGAGGTTTTTTGTTTTTTTTTTTTAATATTATCAGCAACTTATCCATCTCCCCTTTCTGCCTATTAGTTTGGTTCAAAGATTTACTTCTCATATCTACTGAAGCAGTGTAATTTCAATAACAGGACATTACCAGCTACTTTCATAAACAAATTTGTATATATCATGATGGTATATAACAAGCAAGAAACATAATACCTAAGTCTTCCAACATGCGTCAGCTCAAAGATGTAACCTAGGATGCGCACATCTGATTCCAGCTAATATCTCAGTTGACTTTGCAGAGAATTAGACTTTCCCACAGAAAGCAACTGTGAACAAGTTTGTGGGACAAGCATCAAACCAAAAAGTGTTTCAAAAGTACATAAAGATATTGCCCTAGGGAGTAGCCCTCAACTATTTTATATAGCGGGACAGATCATTTCCACTCAGCAGAAATAGTTCAATCAAAATCAATGAACTACTTATGTGAGTAAGGCAAGCTGCATTTGATGCCCCTTCATTATTGTTATTGCTACACAAATTAGAACAAGTTTCTTGTCTATGGCTCCTCATTTATGGTCAAATTTACTGCTCCAGGCCCGATCCTGAAAGGTGCTGAACTTCCAGCCAAGTCAGAGAGAGGCCATGGTTAATTAGGACCTTTCCGGATCAGGCCCTTAGAATGACTGAACTAAGAATATGACAAGCTAGGTATACAATCCTGGTATTATAAAATATGAAACAAATTATTCCCCAGTGCTTTCCTGTAGACCATATGTTTTTAAAACTTAAAAAGATTTATTTCCCACTTTTCATGCATAATCTGCCATATTCATTATTTGAAATATCCCATAAAGAGATTAAATAAGAATTAAAGTCTGAGAGCATCATATCCATCACGGTGGTACGAACTGATGCAGAATTCCAGAAGTCATTTAGCCTTGTAAGTAAAGGCAGTGGCCTTTTTCCACTTTGTTTCACACAGAAGAAGGAAAATATAATACCCTAGAAGACTTTCAGATATGTTTTGCCCCCTCCAAAGAAAAGACTGAATGATAAAGCTACACACACCTTTTAATCTTGTGCTTAGGGTTTTTTTTACACATATATTCCTTGGCAAAAACCCCAGGGTCTTCTGTCTCTCCTCCCCTTCTCTCAGCCCCTTTCCTGCCATCTCCCTTGCTATAACTCAACTAACCCAACAGAACCAGTCAGTTTTAAATTTCAGTTGGGACCCCAGTGACCTGTTAATGAATCTACAGAGAGGAGAAAAACTCACAGTGTTGAGTTATGCCTGGTGTTGCTAGCTGACTTGGAGTCAGAAATGCTTGAAGCGTTAACGTAATTGCAAGAATGTGAAAAATGAAGCGTTGGGCTCCTGAGCAAAGCGAAAGGTCAAAGCAAGCCCTACACAAAACAAGTCTCTGGAAGATGGCCTCATTAGACCATTAAATCAGCTTCTCCTTTTTTCTCCTTTGTTAGATGTTTAGAGTGTTTTATTTTTTATTATTGGATATATTTAACTCTTTCTCCTTCCAGGGCAGGGAGAAGCTGATCAGATCTACTGCATAATTGCTAATCTCTAAAACAGTATTATGCAGCATTGATCTGTATTTGCGGATCTGAACTGGGATAACGTCAATAAACGCTCGGTAGATTACAGGTCACTAGTACTTAGGTTTGTTAGATGATCAATATGTTGTATAGCTTAGTTTTCTGTTGAACAAGTGAGGTGACATGTTAAGAACAACACAGACACTCACCACTAATAAAATTAGGATAATCTTTCAACATTTACTGCCTGAAGGCCCTTTCCTTAACTCTTTCAATGCCAGCATGTTTCTAATCAATTGAAAGTTTGACTAGATTAACCCTTTTGATACCAATGGGGCAATCATCACGTGCTGTCATGGAGAGCCTGTCCTCCAAAAACAGTGAAAACTCCTATGCTCTTTTATTTTTTTATTTTTTTTTATTTTTATTTAAGAACCACAGATGGGTTCTTAAACAGAGTCAGAAGAGACTGGCTGTAGCTTGAATCAATCTCTGCTGCCACCAGGCATCAGCAGAAAAGCCCATAGGTTGCTAATGTGACCTAAGACTCTAATGAGCTCCCATTCCCAAGAAATCCTTATGGGGTAAGTGGAATACTTGAAGCAGCATTTGAGGAAGGACTTAACAGAGGAAAGGAGCAGAGAAAAACTAACTAAAATAAGTAACTGAGCCAGAATGGGTCAAGAGAGCATTTTCACAATCTTAGAATTGGTTGGGACAAAATCACTGCCATTTCAGAGTTACAGAGTAAGTCCTGCCCCTTTCAAGAAAGTGCAAGGAAAATTCACAGATCTCTGTACCAGGCCTCCCTCTTTTTAGTCTTTCCCAGGGATGAGAGATAGAGAGCAAGCCAAAGCTGTCCCCAATGGGAATTTTGTCTGTACTATACGATCATACATCTTTCGGCTGCCAGCAGCTGAGCAGAATGCTGATTTGCCACTGGACGAGTGCCTCCTTTTAAAAAGCTGAACTGGGTACAAAGGAAAGCATACTAGCTATGTTTTACCCTGCTAGATCAGGCACCACTCTAGCGACTAATTCAGCCCTTCAGCAATTGGTTATCTTCTGCAGAAATGAGCACAACATTCATTTACGTCATGTACATTACCACAAACCCCAGCTTCCAATGGGCAGCGCATGTAGTTGTAGTAGAGTAACCAAGTACTTTCTTATGTTTAGGAATATTTCCTGAGTGCCCCAATATACATGACAAGAGATCAGAGACTGCACAGTGAAATGCAAGATACCTGAATGTCAGTGCAAGGGATTGCTTTATATCAAACATGGCTTGATGAAAAACCTCTTTAACTTATATGGGGTTTCTGGAACAGAGAGGAGTTAGAGGTGTAAGGATATTTCTTATCTAGGGGTGGATGAACACATTGTGGCAGATGACTCAGAGGAATCATTTTTTAAGTATGTAAACAATCTTCTGCTACATCAAGCATCCTAGCCACAAATACAAAGTAAACAGTTTTTCAACAGTAAAGTCCATGGCCAACTATTACAGGTAACGCTGGTTTGCTGCTTAGTAGTCAAGCTCTCCCTTTCATTAGCCACTGAAGCTATAATAGTTCATGTTGGAAGCTCATACAGCTCCAGTTCAACCACCTAGAAAAAACTCTGAATGACTCATGTTGGAATTGGATCACACCCTATGTCACGGCTGCTTTCTATCAGCAATAAGATTTCAAATGTATAAACAATTCATACAAATAGGAGACAAACCCAAACCAACGTACCAGAGACAAAATGTCCATGTTCCTAGAATCCCAGTGCATACAACACACACCAGATCGAGACCGACATGGGGATCTAGCTGCGTGACAGAGAGTGGGCCATGCGAGAAACATGGAATCACTTACGTCCCTAAGCATGGCAAATATCACAGTGGGAAGTGGCCTGCAGTGCAAGGCTAGACAGAGGATGTACCTTACAGCAGCAATACCCCTTGCTGCAGCAGAAGGCTGCTGCCTCTCCCCAGCTTCAGGACCCTGTGTGGCTTGTTGAATCACAGATTTGTCAACTGGCTATGTTTGGTGCATGTAACCCCAAAGTGGGAGAGAAGCAGTGGCAAAATGCTGGAGATGCATGAGATGGAGAGAGCACATTGTAAGGCCTTGGGGGGAAAAAAAAAAAAAAAAAAAAGTAATGTCATGCTTGCTAGCTTTCAAGCTAGGCTTTAAAAAGATCACCTTGAACTGCAGTCTTAAAAACGTAATCCTGGGTCAAGCTCCAAGAGTGACAGCAGACTGTCCTGACCCCACTTTTTAGCACTTGAGGTCTGAGTCTCATAGACTGGTACCCTCTGCAGTCATTCACATTAGTAATAAGTGAGCATTTTACACTACCATATCAAAATAACAGCCTTGGACACTCACTCAGCATGGAAGCTGGTGCCACACACAAAGTGAAAAACAGTAGGAAATAAAAAATTAAAATTTTAAACCTCCTGAACCCTGGAGAGGGCTTTGCTGTACAGATGCAAGAGTGGTTTTGCAGTTTCGGCACAAATTTATTTGGTGTTCAGAATTAAGATTTTCAGAGGCAAAAAATGAGTTTGTACAAGCAAATATTACAAGAAACATTTCTGACAGATTTGGGTTTTTGCATCTTCTTGATATAATTTAATGGCTTCATAACATCTTGTAAGAGTCCTTTTCCCAGCTAAAGTTACAGGTTAAATTCTCTGTCTATAACCCAGTTCAAACAACTGCATCACAGCTGGAGAGTATGTCTGTCATTATATTTACTTACACCACACAAAAATAAACTGTAGATAACCAAATTTGTAAAGGAATTGGCAGAACTAATCAATTGTTATTACAAAGCTTGTTTGAAGATTAGATATTTCTCTTTGAAATAATAATAAAATGCAGCTAAGTGGGTTAAGAAAAGGAAATACTGTCTCCCTAAGTTACAGCTGATTACACTGCAAGTCTGCCACTCCATGTTTACTCTAAGGCAGATGTACTGATATAATAAAAAAAGCTGGAGTTATTTTAGTCATGCCTACTTTGCACAGGGAAAAAGTTTGACCTTTTACCTTGCTCGCTGCTGTTGTCTCCGCTCTGGGAAGCATGGCCCCCACTGGAGGGCCCCGGTGTGCCTGCCGAGTGCGTTGAGGTTGCATCATCGTGGTCTCTCCAAGATGAAGGATTCTGGTGTCAGAGTGCCAAGGAATTTTTTCCACAGTTCCCATTCCAATAGCAAATGAAGAACAGAAAGAAAATCGGGAGAAGAGGGGAGAGGGGGAAAGCATACACATTAGCGTTTGTGAAATGTGCCAAACACTGATACTGTTTGCACAGTGTAATAATTCTTCAGCAGTGACAAGCAGAGGAGGTACAAAAATTTATTTGTTAAAATAAAGGACATTAAAAAACTAAAACTTTTCAAAGAGTTATCTGCATTTAATTGTATTAATAGCACTGCAGAAGAACATTTCAGAAAAAAAGAAAAAAATTTAAGTTTCCGAATGAGCTACTGAGGGGCAAGGGGAGGAAGGGAAGGAGGGAGTGGAGAGCATCAGCAAACCTGCACAGTGTACAACACTAGGTGTTCACATTAGGATCAGGGTAATTGGTATGCAACTCTCTCCCCGCTCAGTGCTTTGCCATGACAGATTAGAGATAGGAGGGGAGAGGAAGACAAGAGAAACAGTTTCAAGAAGTATAGGAGCATGAGCAGGGGAGGGGAGCATGCCCTCACACCCTCTCTCTGCCACCAATTTGAATGTTGGAAAAACTTCAAGCAAATGGAAAGTTATGGGGAAAAAGTAAACTTCCTCTGAAACACATCATATACACCAAGCAAGATGCTCCCCCCACACACACACCTCGATATGACACATTTCTAAAGACTTTCTAGATGTATCACACTAACAGTTCGCTTACAAGTATTGTCAAGAATAACCACCAGGTGATTATATAAAATAACATGTATAGCGATTTTTATGTAATCCTTTCTACATTACTATGCATAAAACACAACAAAAGAGAATGCAGAAGACAGAAAAATGAAGTTTGACAAAACTTGGCTAAGTAAGACTCAACTACTGTACTTGAGTCACATAATTCATTCTAGCTTTCTAATTTATTGAGTATTGGCCTTCCTGGAGCGAGGAGCTGCTCTTTAAAGGAGTAAGCAAGGAAAAACTTAACATTACAGCTTAGTGCTACTTTGTTGAGTGTGTTCTCCTCCTGTCCTCCTCCCCTTTCCTGATCATTCCCAATACCCTGCTGTTGCTTAAAGGAAAACAGGAATTCTACTGTACAGGAAGAGCTTTATCAGCACCACATGAAGGCAGGCAAGAGATGGAATTTCCTCTGGCAGAAAAGGAGAGCAAGAACACATGAAACAGATCAGACTAGGGGCTGGACCTGCATTACTTGTCACCTGTATGTGACAACTTAAATCAAGCACATTCTAAGAATTCAAAACAAACAAACAAAAAACAAGAGAAGAACATTACTTGTGAGGTTTCATCATGTTTTAATCGGCATTGTGAAAAATACTGGGCTATTAGCACGAAGGAGGAGATCCTGACAGCTGCAAATGACAAGTTTTGATAAATTCTTAGGGTGGGACTGATTCTGACTTCACTTACACCAATGTATAGTAGGAGTAAGTTCAACAAAATCAACTGATTTACCCATTGTAAAATCCAGTGTAAGTGCGATTGAAATCAAGTCCCAAAAATATATCGAAACATCTCCAAATAATCTCCTAGCACTGATTAGTACCACATGCTTTATGGTAACATAAACTAGAACTGCCAAATAACATTTTGCTACAAAATCCAGTAACATAAATCTAAAGGGCTTGACCCAGATCACAGCATAGACAAAGGGAAGAGCCTGTGACTTCAAAAACATTTTGAATAAAGGTTAAGGTGACCAGAGGGTAAGAAAAATCCAAATCCCCTTTACCTTACATGAACACACACACATACAGCTCCACAGTGAGACAATATGAGTAAATCAGAGAAAATAGCCCAGGATCTTAAAAACCCCCTAAATGATCAGCAAAACAGACAGCATTTGTGATACAAAATGAAAAAAAAACCCAAAAACAAACAAAAAAAAACCCACCCTATCAAACTCATCTACTTTTCTAACACAGAACTACAACAGAGAAAAACAGATTAACAATAACATTTGATTTTTTTTGAGGTCATTATATTAATTAGGTCTCTGGAATTGCTATAACTACCATAATTCCCCAAAATTTAATAATTAAAAAAATTACCATTATTTCATAGAATCAGGTGGAAAGATACACAAAAAGAAAGATGAGAAGTCTTGAGAGTTCAAGCAGCCCAGATGTTATTTAAAAAAAGGGTGGGGGGGGAAACAGGCTATGGCTGAAAATAAGGTTAGGAAAAAGTTCAGATGGAAATAAATGCAAAAAATAAGCAAGTTTCTTTACAGGCTGGATTAAAACAGTCGTGCCTATGAGCTTCTCTTTTTATCTCTGAGTTAGGAAGCCACTCAAATAGCTTCAAGCTGAAGGCAAACAGCAGACAGGAGCTCTTCAGCCCTCTGCAGCCTCTTAGCGTCAGCTGTTTGCCGGATTGGTAATCAGATAAAGAGCTAGAAGAAATACATGAAAAAGGAAAGAAACAATAGCATAGCATGAGTTTAGCCCTCCAACAACATCAGGCTGGAACCTTCTTTTAGAAAATGTAATAATTGCAACATGTTCACCTAGGCTAAACTTTTCAGGAAACACAGTGAGTTATGTTAATTTTATGCACTGCAGGCTCTCTTAAGCTGGCTGCTGTTGGAGCTCCTTATCACACATACGAAAATTACAATAATTAACTGGTAACACCTCAGCTATGTTTTAAGGCAAATGTCATCCAAAACCTATCATACAGTATTTCAAAAGCTAGGCCGGCCTTTATGTTTCAAAAATGTAGTGATTTGGAAAAGATCACTGAATAAGACTTCCTGCAGCTGAAAACACTTGCTGTCTCTACCAGACTGAGTTGTTCTTGACCTCAGTTTGTAGACCCAGTTTTAGAAAGACAGACTGTATTGATTGGGAATTCAGTGTATTTCTTGTAACACAGTATTCCTGAGGAAATAATATGGCAGTATTTTGTTGAAGGATAGAAATAATAAGATGGGATATTTACAAGATGCGATGGTAGAATATTGGAAGAATTCGAAAATTAGGAAAATGACTATGCTTTAATATTATAACAAATGAAAATAACTGTAGGGGTGGAGCTTACAGCCTCATAAAAAAATCAGTTTTTTCTTTGGACTAAGATCATTGTACGTGTCAGTTAACTTCTGTTTTTTCCTCTAGACTGTTTCCAACTTCACATCCCTCAAGAAAAACTTCTTGGCCAAATGCCGAATGGTAAGTAGTTATTTTATGTATATCTGCACAAAAATGGGACCTAATGACACATCTAAAGAGTAGTTCACTAGAAACACTTAATCAATATAGTTTAGGTACCTAGAGAGATCCTGATCCAGAGTCTACTGACATTAATGGCAATTTTTCTATTGATTTCAATGAAATTGGTATTAAGCTATTGCACTGTAAAAAGAAGTACAGATAGCCATAAGTGAATTACATAAACTGTTAGCCTGGCTTCTTCTTGCAAGCTCTAGTAATCTACATTGCAGAAACTCATCAAAGAGTGTGGACGATGTCTGCCAAAATGCAATTGCCTGCTTTGTGTGTGTGTATATATAGATATATATGTATATACACACACAAATAGAGATATATGGGTACTGTCACCTATACACACACGTATGACCTAAACTACTGCCATATACCACAGAAGATAAACAGCACACATGTATCTATTCCCAGTAGTTTTAATAATTGGGAGTCAAATATGGTGCTCCTCTTGCTCTTACCTAATTGTGTTAAAGAGCAGTGTTACCAGGAGAAAAGCAGTGAATACTGAGTAGAGCACAATAGAAGGAGATGGAAAATAGATACAAGAAGCTAGGTCTCCAGGGGCAGTATTTTCTATTTGCTGGGCTACAGACTCACAGCTGATAATGCAAGTTGTAATTAATATAAAAGCAGGAGACAATATGGGGAAAGCTTGTACTAGCAGGGCCACAGGAGATCACTCCGCTGCTATCCACTGTTTCTCATTTACACACACAGCCTTCCCTAGAAAACACAATTTTGCCAGTGGTTTTTCCCTTGAAAGTTTAAAAAAAAAATTGATTTAGCATCACCATTGAATTCTGCTAAATCTAGAAAAGAGCAACAGAAAGGACAAGAGTCTCTTGGTATACAAAGCAAATCTGATGTGTTACTCTTTTGTCGATGCTGCAAACCTGGTGGAAACTGTAAGCGTTTTTAACTGCTACAGGATTTCTTAAGCAGAGATGTTGTAAGGCATATTTGATATAGGATAACCTCCTGCTAAATTGCATTTCTTACTTTGTATGCCCAGAATTTCCACTGTACAAAGTGTGGCTAATTCTTTGTGAGTGTATGTGGTCCCACTAGGGCTGCTTCTGACCTCACATGGCTTTTTATGGTGATATTAAAAACTCAATTAACCATAAGGAAGTTACTTCTGATTTATAGCTGGGAAGTAAAATCAAAATCAGGCCAATTGATATCCATGTCAGTAAGATGAGCAGGATTTAGCTCACAGACTTTAACTGAAGTTTTCCGCATATAACTACGACACGATCAGGCCCTTACATTTTATTGAGTGGAATGGACAAAACATTTATCTTGAACAAACAAATAAAGCATACCCTCTTTCACAAAAGAAAATACAAGAGGTATACGACTTACACTCTGCTAAGACAACTGGACCCAAAGGTCTGCAGGTTGCTCTTGTAAATTAATTTTACAAATGCAATACTGTACTGAACTACTGGTACACATGGCATTTTCCCCCTCTACTTTGAGCCAAATCTTGCTCACCTTGTTCTTACAAGTAACACCTGCAAACACAGTGAAACTACTGACATGACTGAGACCACAAAAATGTGTCCCTAAGTGCTGCCATATATCAAAACATGATATACTATGCCAGACTTATAAACCCTTACACACATACGTACGTGTATGTGTTTGTGTTTTACATGCATAAAGTTCAAGAGAATATCTTAAAGGCTGTTGTGGAGTGTGGCAATAACAAACTTCTACAAAGAAACTTTCA